CACTAACATAAACCAGTCAGCTATGTCACATGTGTGACAAAGAGGCACAAGAAAGAATGAATGAATTTGCAGTGCATAATGCCACATCTGAGTGTCAGTAACTGGGACGTATCGTGAGATTTTAACAAAATCTAATCAGTGTCGCTTTGAATCTCAGTCAAAGGTGAAGTAGGCGACAGAGCCTCTTAAAAAACCAAGCACGATTGGGTGAGATGAAGATAGTCGATATATTTTTTCATGTGCTCTGAGACATCTCCTTTGTTGTACACGCTGGCAAGATAGAGGAGGGAATTAAATGACCGAGATAGGGGTGAGAGTCAGATTAAGGAGAGTGCAAACACAGAGTGACACATAACAGAAGCTGCAAGCTTGCAGGCACTGAAGGAATTATGTGGTCTCTCGTGGTTTAAGATTGCCCAGAAAAACAGGATATTACAACTTGCCAGTCATGTAACATTTTAATTAGAGATGCTTCCATCTGATACTGCAACGACATTAAAAGCATATTTTACAAACTACACACATCTCCGCTCTTTGGTCCGTGCGATAACCCAAAATTAGGCAGTTATTAAGATTGAAATTATTAATTATTAACCTTATTTACCTTATTAATTCTTTTTAAAGGGACAATCCCACATGTTGAGAAAAAACACTTGTCATTAACAGAGGCAGATGATGAAACAGTAGTGTATTTATTTCATCACTGTGTATTCAGTACAACGATAAAGTGGGTCCAGTTAGCCTACAGGGAACTGCTAGCCTAGCTTCATCAGAAACAACATGAACTCTAAATGTTAGTGCAACAATAATAATGAGCTGTACTAGAAAAGGTCAAGTTTGATGTTTTTTAGATTTACAGTCATCCAAACAATCAAAACCTTGCCTCACCCACCAACTGCTGATCAAGAAATAACATGGTGTCAACACCTTACAACAACAGTCTTGCTTATGCATTTCTTTTTAAAAGAAGGAGGATAGAGCTCTGAGCTGAATGCATGTTGGACCAGTCTCTGCTGCCCAGAGATGAAATTGATATTGATCCCTCATCTGACTCAGCTCCAAAGAGCCATATCAAAAAAATAAAAGCATTCCAAGTGTGGATCCAACTGGACACGTGATCTTCTCTTACAGTTTCTACATTTTGAACCATTGTAATACAGTTTATAAGGATTTGTTTCAAAGCCTATTGTTAAGAAAAGAATCTCTAAGACCTGCTTTCAACAGCAAGTCTATAAGGACTTGTCCTCATATACCCAGATACTTATTTGTTCTAATATTTACTCACTTCCGTGGACACAGGTAAGGGGTTGTGCACACTGGTATGATAATAAGGCAACTGAAAAATGCTATTAACACAAGCTGGGAAAGAAATTAAAATCGTTGGGGTCACTTATGCCTTTCCTGGGCCAGGGGTTATACTACTGGTGTGCTCCAGTCTCACAGCTGGAAAGATAAAAGGACAACAGCACTAATTATTAATTGTCAGGAGCTGTGCCTGCAGCACTGTGCCAGACCCTGCTGCCTCCCTCTCAAGAGGGAGGGGACTAAATTGTTTCAGAAAGCCAAAGCAATCAAACTAATTGGTACATTCTTAAAAGCTTGTGGCACTGCTTAGTCAACTGTGTTTTTGGGCACCTCTGAGTGAGATCAAATATTCGTTTATTTGTCAGTGTTACAAAATTATGATCTTGGACGAACCCCAAAGGCTTATCTCTGGGAGAGGCACCTGCCCTTGGCAACCTTGATACTGCAGCTATGAGCCATAATATCTCCACTAACCAATATCACACTGAATTCAGGCCAGGGCCATATGGAAATCCACTCACAAAATCAGACTTGTGTACGAGGAGGGCAGCTGGCACCTCTACTCTTTTGCTTTTAGCATATATACTAGCTAATCCATCATTGTTGGAGTAATTTCTACATGCTCCAATGTTTCCATGTCTGCTGTCTTGGTCAGTGAGATGGTTTAAGGGTACAGCAAAGACATCGGTCCATCCATCTTTTGAGAAGGACGGTATGGTATAGAGCTGATCTACCCCATTCTGTTTTCTCTCTACCAGGCAATCTGTTTTAGGATGATAAATACCACTCTTCTTTTAACAGGCACCCATTAATCTGCACACCTCATGCAGTGTGCCTGACAGAAAGGACTTGCATTGGACAAGAACATTTGGTGAATATGACCTGCCTTGAAAACCATTTCCTCGTGGCTTTCTGGCACTTGCAACTGACTGATATCCTCACAAGTCTGAACGTCCCAACTCCACCCACCACTTCATTAGGTACACCTGTTCAAGTGCTCATTAACACAAATAGCGTGGCACGTGGCAGCAACTCAATGCATTTAGGCATGTAGACATGGTCAAGACAATCTGCTGAAGTTTAAACCAAGTGTCAGAATGGGGAAGAAAGGTGATTTAAGTGACTTGAAAGGTGATTTAAGTGACTTTGAACGTGGTGTGGTTGTTGGTGCCAGACGGGCTGGTCTGAGTATTTCAGAAACTGCTGATCTACTGGGATTTTACACACAACCATCTCTAGGGTTTACAGAGGATGGTCCGATAAAACAGAAAATATCCAGTGAGCACCAGTTCTCTGGGTGAAAATGCCTTGTTGGTGCCAGAGGTCAGAGGAGAATGGGCAGACTGGTTCAAGATGATAGAAAGGCAACAGTAACTCAAATAACCACTGGTTACAACCAAGGTCTACAGAAGACCATCTCTGAACCAACAACACGTCCAACCTTGAAGCAGATGGGCTACAGCAGCAGAAGACCACACCAGGTGCCACTCCTGTCAGCTAACAACAGGAAACTGAGGCTACAATTCACACAGGCTCACCAAAACTGGACAGTAGAAGATTTGAAAAATGTTGCCTGGTCCGATGAGTATCATCGCTACATTCTGCTGCCGCATTCAGATGGTAGGGTCAGAATTTGGTGTAAACAACATGAAAGCATGGATCCATCCTGCCTTGTATCAAAGGATCAGGCTGCTGGTGTTGGTATAATGGTGTGGGGGATATTTTCTTGGCACACTTTGGGCCCCTTAGTACCAGCCGAGCATGATTTAAACACCACAGCCTACCTGAGTATTGTTGCTGACCGTGTCCATCCCTTTATGACCACAGTGTACCCATCTTCTGATGGCTACTTCCAGCAGGATAACGCTCCATGTCATAAAGCTCAAATCATCTCAAACTGGTTTGATGAACATGACAATGAGATCACTGTACTCCAATGGCCTCCACAGTCACCAGATCTCAATCCAATAGAGCACCTTTGGGATGTGGTGGAGCAGGAGATTCACATCATGGATGTGCAGCCAACAAATCTGCAGCAACTGAGTGATGCTATAATGTTGATATGGACCAAAATCTCTGAGGAATGTTTCCAGCACCTTGTTGAATCTATGACACCAAGAATTAAGGCAGTTCTGGGAGCAAAAGGGGTCCAACCAGGTACTAGCAAGGTGTCTCTAATAAATATAGTCCGTCTTGTGCCAAAACATTGTGAAGGTAAGTGGATGTTATGTAAATTACTGTGATGCTGCTCCAATAAAAAATCTTCCATAGGAGACAGTTATGAACAGGACTCTCTGCCAACACTTCCAGCTCTTCCCCCTCCCCCACAGAAGCAACGTCAGCTAGCTGTGTGTCGTCAGCGGGCACAGCACATTTACAGTTACCCACCTGTTGTGACTGTGCTTTCTCTTTATGGCCTATTACCCCAGAGAGGCCAATCAGTCAGCCCCAAATTACAGAATGGAAGGCTAACCTTGTTCTTGATTACATGATTGCAGCATGTAACACATTCATATTTAATATGCTTGGCCACAAACAGTTATCTAAAAACATGAGACAAAATCTCTAACAATAACTGATTGCATATAGAACCAGAGTCTGTCAAAGCCGAATATCTACCCCATCAGATCCTCAGTGGCACTCAGTAGGTCCATTTTTGATGAGGTAGGAGATTGGGGTCACTTGCCAATTCTTTCTACCACTGGACTTGCTTTTCTGTGGTGCTCATATCATGCACACCACCATCACTCCTGGATTGCTGTGTGTGGAGCATGGAGATGCTTGGTGCAAGGTGAGACTGATAGAAATGGTCTGGAGGTGTGCAGCCTCAGTGCTCTAGGCATTCTTTGACATTTTGGGTGGCTTTGGCACGTCCCACCCACAAGTTGCCATTACCTTCTCGAACACCTCCATCTGTGTTCTGTCATTTTCCTCAGGGTGATGTAGATGCTTAATGTATCGAGGAAAGGCCAGTTAGGTTCAGCAGGTGCAGACTGATGGTCCAGTCGTCTGGAAAACTTGCTGCAGGGCTATCAAGTCTTCTTCTCCCCATGCCTGGAGCATCTTCATAAAAAGTGTGATGTACTGGGTTTCCTGCAGCGAGTCGCAATGCTCTTGAGCCACATGATAGGAATGGCTGCCAGTCCATCTCCTGTGACTGCCTGTACTGACAGATCCTTCTTCTTTCTGGGGCTGCAGAAGAACACGAGACAAAGGGAGACAGTTACGTTTGCCAGCATGGTAATTACTACTTTTCAGCCAGGAGATCCAGCCTCATGTATAGGAGAAAAACAGGCAACTGCTGTTCCCCTCACCAGGAAAAATGACATAGAAGAAGAATACAAGAAATTCAAACCGTAACATGTGAAGCTCAGTACTACTGCATATATATGTATATATATATATTTTTTGCTCTCAGCAGTGAGAGGGTGATGTTTCACTGTGAAAGGCACATAGCTCATGTCATTACCATATTGACATCCCAATAATTATACTAGTACATGTGGGCAGAATTCTGAAAGGTTTGAATTGATGATAAAGAAAGGATGAAGGTGAGGGAGAATGACAGAGAGACGGCATGCTGTTGTGTGTGTGTGTGTGTGTGTGTGGGTGTGTGTGTGTGTGTGTGTCATATGTATGTGTGTGATAGTAAGTGAAGCTTGAGGAGAGAGCGACAGACCAGGAGGAGAGTGGACTGAGAGAGCAGCACATTGTACCGACTCCACTCAAGACACCGATCTGTGTTTACACCAGGGAATAAAGGGAGCACATCAGAGGTAAGAAGATTTATGCTCTTTGGAAAGCAGGGAAAAGTCATTGTAACGCATAGCAACTGTCTGTTATAGAAATCACTCCATGTTTTAGAGGATCCTGATGTGTAGCACAATGAAATCAACCAATTTATTCTTTTGTAATTTAGCCTTTTTTAAACTCTCTTTTTCATGGCTAGAATTGTTTTAACAATGTTATTGAAATGAACATGCAGTGACTTACTAAACAGCTATGTTCTACTTTATGTGGATACTGATTATAATAACATTCTATTGTAACGTTGCATAGACATATAACTATATACATTTATGTTTTACATCAGGGACAGTGCACATTCAGCGACATTTAAGTATTTGTGTGGGAAACCAACAAAGTAAAATTTGCTTAGGGGACATCACAGAATCTAATTTGTGTCTAGTAGGTCATCTTCATATAACAAAGTGGTGTGTGTATGTTAAAGCCACTGCCAAGTTCAGGATAACAGGATTGGGGGGGGGAAAAATCCATTGAGGTAAAACCCCTAAAATTTTATTAGAGTGCAGGATCTAGACAAGAATGAAGGGAAAAATGGATCTCTGTTAAAAATTGCAATGTTGTTTGATTCTACCTTTCTAAGTGCAAACTCACTCAGTGTCCTGGTGGTGCATTCAGCCAAAAAAACAAATAAACATACGATGTAAATACATATTCTTAGTTTCAACACAAATGCCTTTTGTAGTATGTCAATGCTCTCCAAGACTCTTTTTCCTCCTTCTGCTTTTAAGTTTACTACAACAGAAAATCTTAATAAATAAGCATATCTGAGCAAAGAAGAAAATGTCAGTGAGAGAAAGCCCTCATCTTAGGAGGCATAATTGTTAAGAGGCATTACAAATCTCAGCTGAAGTCATTAAAGGTGCAACGTGCTCATAGTCTGCAACGTCAGTGCCTCAAGTGATGAGAATGATTGCAGTGTTATTAAAGTGAAAGCTTAAAATGACTTATGAGCAACGAGAAGCACCTGAGAAAATCCACATTCAAGTTGTGCACATTTCCTTCAGACTACACTTGACTGCAAAGAAACACAAGCAAGTGAAAGTAAGCACTAAACACATTTACTCCCACAAAGTCATTTTTGACTCCCATAGGATGCAGTGTCATCGTGATTTCGACGCAAAAGATGGTTGTTATTTTGGTATGTGATGTGGATTATTCATGGCGTCATTCTGAAGAAAGAGAAAAAAACACTCCAGGGACGAGAACTGTGGCAGGCTGGGCATCACTTTCTCCATCTCTTGTTGTATTTTTCAACAGTCAGCCATTTGCCACATTACTTCCTTGGCTTCCAGGAGAACAGAAAGATGTCTTGCGCTCTGTTCACAGTGATGGATATTTTCTTCTGATATGAGGGGGTTAACAGTTGTTGACTAGATATAGATGTGGAGCTGGAGTGAAAGCTGCTGTCACGTATGCTGCTAAGTTTGTAGTTACCCAAGCGCCAAAGCTGTCTCTCATCACTGGATTGGCGTACTGTACTGTTTGCAATTGGCTGTAAACTCTAAGGACTTGTAAAGACAAAGTCACTTTAAAGTCCTGCATTTTACAGCATTTACTTCAAGTGAAAGCTGCTGTGTACCTGAAAAAAGCTGTTGTGTGCTTACAGCAATAAAGGGGTATTGCATGTAGTTATTTGATACAGAGGTTTCGCTGCGCATGTAAGTGCTGTAGCTCCCCACTGCCTTTGAATCATTACATTTTACAGCAGAGAAATTCCCCACTGGTAATCAATAAATCATAATCTACCACACAACCCGGGAGATTTTTGTCTGTGGCCAACAGGCAGTCAAACACAATGGTGTGAAATCCTTTTTCAGCCAGCCACCCTGGAACAAGTCATGACTGTCAGGTGGGCACGGCAGTTAACTAACTTTGGAAGCATCAGAACACATGCTTTAATGGATGACTGTTTGAAATGAGTGAGGGCGTATCTAATCATTTATAGTTTAGCACTTTGGTGTTTAGATTGCATTTGAAAATAAATTACTACATGTCTTTTGTGTGAAAATAAGACTAAGTCAAAACCACAATATTAGCAATATGACTTGCAGAATGCTCATTAGGAAGATGTGTTGTCCGTAAACACATCACACCCACTGACGATAATGTATCCTGCAAGTCTGAAATATTCATAACAGTAGCAGATGTATTTTTCATAAAGCAAACTATGTTATTTTTTGAAATATGCTCTGAACAGTGTGCTCCTGCATCCTACTCTTCAAGCTTGTCTCTGAGTTTTAAATCTAAAATAGATGCGAGTATAATTTTAAAAGATGTTCCGCCTCCTGGGGCTATAGTATGAAAATCCTATTGACTAAATAAGTAATTCACGGCACAGTAATGGCTGCACTCTAAAGCCACAGGGAAATGGTGTATGGAGTGCTATTCATTGTGATGCAGTAGATGTATACGGACAACATGCCTAACCACTGATTCTTCTTCTGTCTGGGCACAAAGGCATCCTCATGAAATAGACCGCTGACTTATGTATGTAAATGTATGGAAAAACCATTGTTGTGTTTTCCCGCTTGTCATCAACAGTCATTCATTAAACTGGCAGGAAAATGTTTTCCTGTCTTTCTCATTATCCGGTTCTCATTTGGAAAAATGTAAATAATGTTACATTTGACCTCCGAGTTAGAAATTTATATTCAGCTAATTGACCAGTTTTACTTCTCCTTTGTCAGCTCAAGTCTTTCAAAAGCCAAAGCAGTTCCTCTGTATGCATAATTATATGTCCTTTATGTTATGAATTTATAAACCAAGGTTGCAGTTTGAGCACCAGACTGGCACAACAAATCTGGACAGGCTAGTGAAAGACCAGTGCAGGCATGCCCTTATTATCAAGATTAAGGTAGCCTAGAAGGAACAGTTTAACATTTTTCGGAGTTTTCGAGTGAAATGAAAAGATTACTACCACTATCATGTCTGTGCTGTAAATTTGGGGCTATTGAGTGCCCCAGGAATGAGTCCTGAAACCCGGAAATGACTTAGCATTTTAGCCCTCCTGGTTCCCTCATCTCAAAGTTTGGGCCCTATTTAGATGGTCTAAGGCGGACGGCGGAGAGCGCATAATCCATGTCGCAAGTGTCATTGCTATTTAGATGCAGGCGCAGTTGTCATTTTCACACCCTGCGCCTTCGTTGTCTAACTAGCAAATGAACTTGCGCTTCTCTGGGTGTGTTGGTCTATAAATGAGGAGTGGTCAGGCGCAGTCATGGCACGTTGCTAGTTAGATGACGTAAAAAGCAAATGCGCCAGTGACCAACAAAAACCTGGTCTAAAGTCAACGGCGCAGTATTTCGCTTTTAAACAAGTTAGTTATATGCGTCTCTAGGCGGGTGCACAACACGCGTGCACTCTGCTCAGACACACACGGAGCAGCCACAAATATGAAAAAGATAACAAATAAAAATATGATTACAATGTGAAAGGTTATTATTGTGCACATTAAAATATTTATCAGAAACACGTCTTAATGGTCAGTCATTAATCAGAATGATCTAATCACAGTAATAATGATCATCATAATTTGTAATAATGACAAATGAAATTTTGAAATTATCTGACCAATCAGTCATTTTTTTGATTGAAAACCAAAGCCCACACATTGCATTTATTTTAACATGTTATACTAGGCTACATTATATAGGCTATTAGGCTACATTATATTATATTATTATATTGTTATCTGAGTGTAGAGAGGACGCACATGCAAATAAGAGGCAGAACACAGCTCTAGGAAACGTGAAAACAATTAACAAACGTGGGTGGGGGAGAAAACGCTGAACAGGTCATAGCTGCAGGATCAGCACCTTGGGGAGCTCCGCGGCAGTCCTGACAGCTGTGCTCTGTTATATGATGAAAAAATGTTTGAATAATATTCCACAGATATTTAGTAAGATCTTTCTTGTATTAGTGATCCCACGCCTGCTTTACCTTGGGGAGCTTGGGTGCCTGTCTGCTGTCCCCGTAGATCTGGTTCTGATGGGCCTTCACCTCCCGCATGAGGAGATCCGTCTCCTCAGCTGTAAAACGCTCACTCTTTCCAGTTGGTAGGTCCGCCATCTAACTAGCTCTCCACCATGCGCTCCAATCGCGCCTCTTTTAAAGGGAATGAGAGGTGACACTCTGATTGGCTTATTGAATGATACGCCCAAAACACACCCATTACTAATTCACAGAGTAAGTCCAACCCTTTTAGACTCTCCGCCATGGCGCACAGTCTCGTTGTGGTGGCAGCCTTTAGTCATGCGTCTGCGGTGTAGTTTGTTCAAAGCCTAATGTTAGCTTTTTACTTCTGGCAAATGTAATTAGGCTTCAAAAATCATGAAATTGGTGTTCATTAGCAAGATTATCTTGTTGAACAAAACATGTAAGTATCATGAACTGTTGTTTACCACAGCTTATTATCAGCAATAATCCAAAATCCAATGGAAAACTCTCTGGATGACACTAACTTCCATGTCAGCCTACAGAAAAACATCATCCCTGGAGCACTCTATACCCCGCAGGTGATTAGCTTAGCTTAGCTTAGCTTAGCACAAAGACCAGAGAGAGGGTTACAGGCAGCCTGGTTTCTGTCTAAATGTGACAAAATCCACGCTCTGTAAATAACATGTTGTATCTCATGTGTTTAATATACATGACCAAAGTGTACATACAACAGTTGTACAATTTGATTTTGCCGAATAATATCTTGGTTGGAAATGGTATCTCCCTGGAGGATCTGCTGGTTGAGAAGAAAAAGTCTGACACACCTATCTATCACTTTAAGCAAGTCACAGTACAGCTGCTAAGGTGCAAACAGATCAGACTTGGTGGTGGGCAACTTCCGGATGTAAATGCATGTAAATGTGTTTGCACAGCACAGACACTCTGCTCCAGATGTGTAATGAACTGAATTATAAAGAAGAAGAATCTAGTTCCTCACAGGATGTGACACAACGTACAAAATACTGTTACACCTACAGTCCTGGGCCACTTTGCTCTCATGGCAGTGCTCTGAGTACACGATGTACAGTTTATAGAATGGAGCTTCCTACTAGAAAAAAAAACCTCAGTTCAGCATCAGTGCCATTCATAAGGTACTGACTCACACAAGAGGAAGAGCCCACTGCTCATTTCCACCCACTGAGTGTCAGAGGGTCAAGGTGATCGAATGATGGTTATCACAAAAGACCAGTTATTGGAGTCTGTATAACTGCAATGATCCCATTCACGTGTGCTACTGTCAGTGAAACATTTCCACTGACTGGACAGTTAAAAAAAAATGCTAAAACAAGTGATTCTGTATTTTTAAGTGTCAGGAAATTTGCTGCAAAAAACAAAAATAACAACAAATTAATCCTATGTACATTAAATTTGCTCGTTTCTCTGTGTCGTAGACCACCATTGCCAAATACTACGTGCACAGCTGTTTTAGGAAATTACCGACCCCCTTTTTTAAAAATAGAACTGTATATTTGAAATCCATTTTAAAAATGCATTAATCGATCTTTTTGTCTGGCCACTTGGGAGCATGCAACAAGCTGTATGTCAAACACTGACATAGAACTAAGTTTGCATTAATTTGGATTCTTGTTTCAGGCAAATGTAGTAAGTCCAATATTTACTCCCCTCTAAGCTCTGTTTTGGTCTCCACCAACTTAAGAAAAAACTAGAAAGGATCTTGCAATGGAATCACTCCAGCCGCTATACAGTGGTCTTCAACTTTAAGTAAAGTAGGGGCGCCAATGGCCCCTTCCCTGTTTCTTGCCCCTTTACTTTGGGCACCCTTGCTCAGATCACAACCATCTTTGAACTCCACCTTCGTTGTCTTCATGTGTGTCACCTGGACCACACTTTTCCATCATGACACACACGCACACACACACACACACACAGATTCGCAAGGTGAAAACAATACCACACACAATCTTATATCGGCTGGTGAATTTATAAAATGAGAAGTGTGCGGTGCTTGGTTTTTGCATGAACTGTTCTCAACATAGCAGCCGGGTCAGAAAGTTTCTCATTTCACAGGTAAACAGTACACTAAAATATGCTTCTAAAAAACATTTGAGATGACGAAAAGGCAATGCAGTAACAGAATTTTAATTCATATTTGACATAGTTTGACAGTTCACAAGCAGTGGTTGACATGATTGACATTCTCATTGTTTTTGTTGCATACAAATGCCATTAGAAGCATTACAAGGAGAACCAGGAACCTGATTTATTTCACAAACTATCTGTCTAATGCACTACTGTGTGGATGTAGTGACAGTTCCAGCATATATGAAGAAGCAAGCTTTCAAGCTTTAAAACTGTAGCTTTAAACTTAATGATTTCATACATTGATAATACAAGAATATTTAGTGTATTTTAAAGAGTAGCAGCCGGCATCAACAAGATTTTCTCTAATGGTTACGTTGCCATAAGTTTTGAGAAAATTCTGAAGTGTTTGTGTTTGAAGAACCAAGACTTTGAGGGCAGGAAACAGATGGCAATTCAAGCTCATTCAATCAATCAGTCTTCTGTTCACAGTAGCCAATTCAGAACTCATTAGCAGAAACAGTGGTCAGGAAACATGATGACGAGAGCTGAATGTCAAGATGTGAAACAACTCCTCATTTGTGCTGACATACGTACATTCACAGTATTCAACAAAACTTTGATCCCTGTTAAACTATGATTATAAATCTATGTTGTATAGATGTCATCACTTTTATCTTTACTTCAATTGTGTTCAAAACTTTAGCTCTAAAATGGCAGTTACTATGATGTCTGTTTGATCTGTTTTTTCTTAGACAGAGACTCTGACGACTGCAGCAGGATGTCAGCTTACAACTGCTCTTTTGATCTAATGGCTGAAAAAGGCAGTTGGCTTTGTCCTCCGGAGGAAAAGTGTGTCAATCTGACCTCTGTGGTAAACGGAAGCCACATCGATCTGGATGACGCATGTCTAACAGAGGAAGGGTACCTGGAGAAATATCTGGGGCCTCGTCGATCAACTGTGTTCCTCCCCATCTGCCTCATCTACCTGGTCATCTTCCTGGTAGGTGTGGTGGGGAATGTGTTGACGTGCACTGTAATTGCACGCAACAAAGTGATGTGGACGCCAACAAACTACTACCTGTTCAGCCTGGCGGTGTCAGACCTGCTGGTGCTGCTGCTCGGCATGCCGTTAGAGCTGTATGAGCTATGGCAGAACTACCCCTTCCTCCTGGGGAAGGGCGGCTGCTACTTTAAAACATTCCTATTCGAGACTGTTTGCTTGGCGTCTATCCTCAACGTTACAGCGCTGAGTGTGGAGCGTTACATCGCTGTGGTGCACCCGCTTCGTGCAAAGTACGTCGTAACGCGCACCCATGCCAAGCGGGTCATCCTTACAGTGTGGGGTGTGTCTGTGTTGTGTGCTTTGCCAAACACAAGTCTGCATGGGATCGACGTCCTTCACAGTCGCCTCAGTCGCCCCGATGGGAACATTACTGTTGAGATCCCTGACTCAGCGATCTGTACATTGGTGAAACCACGCTGGATGTACAACCTGACCATCCAGGTGACCACCTTGCTATTTTTCATGCTGCCCATGCTCACCATCAGCGCCCTCTACATGCTCATCGGGCTGCAGCTGAAGCAGGAGAAGATGCGTCAGACACTGGAGGCGAAGACGGGCTTTGGACAGGACAGCTTCTGTAACATCCGAACACAGCAGCAGAAAGCACGTCGCCGGCAGGTCACCAAAATGTTGTGTGAGTATCAAACAAGTCTTGCCTTAAATCTTACCTAAAGTTTTGTACCTAACTCACCTGTACGCAAATCTGTTCATGGGACAGCTAGAGCAAGACAGTTGAGTTTTTAGGCCAATACCAGTATTTGAGAGTCTTTAACGATCAGATAAGCAACTTTTTTTTGTAATATAAGAGGTGTCATTCTGGTATATTAGAAAGGGCTAGTGTGCATCACATGGCATTGCACTACCAAGCAGCTACCTCAAGGACTGAAAAATTAAGCCAGCGTGGAAGTGCTAGAAACTGCAGTTCCCTGAATGGCCACTTGAGGCTGGCTCCAGAAGTGAGTTAATCCCCATAGACCCCCATGTTAAAATGCCCAACTTTATAGCAGAAATAAACATGTTTACAGCCTGTTACAAAAAACAAAAACAAAAAAGTTACAGTTGGTCTCTATAGGTAATTTCACATTTTTAATTATATGGGGTATGAATTTCATACACTTTACTCATTTACTATTTATTAATGCCTGATTAGGGGTGGGGTCACTTTAAATGACAAACAAGTTGCAAAGCATCGCCACAGTCCATGAGTCAGACCCCTCACTCCTGCACAGCTCCACCCTCACATCCAACCGTGTGTCACTTCTGGCTCCAAAAACCAAGATGGCAACAGCCAAAATGCTGAACTCGAGGCTTCAGAGTGGAAGTCCACAAACCAGTGCGTGATGTCACAGTAGCTACGTCCATTATTTTTACAGTCTGTGTGCACTGCCAAATGAGGCCACTGTTCCAAAATCATCTCACAGCCCAGAGCTGTTCCTGGAGGCTTGCTGCGTATACTCAAAATAGGAACCACCACCTAACTAGCTATAGGCACGCAAAGTGGCAATCTCCAGAACTAAAAAAAATGAAGCCAACTGTGTGATGTAAACATAATAGTACAAACTTTGGTTTACAATATATTGGACTGAAATGTACCATCTTGTGTACACATATTTTGTCAGTATAGTAATGTTAAGATGTTCTAGTTTCACGTATTTCCGCTAGTCGGTGCTGCTCGGGCAGCTGGTAGTTCTTCTGGTTGGGAAAAAAGAGAGGAGGAGAGAGTATAGCTTGGAGGGGGCATTGAGCAGGTGAAATGGCTGACTGGTGTGTGTTCAGACTTCACCCAGAGCAGGTTGGACTGTTCTATTCCTTCACACACACCCACGGCGCTTACAAAGAAAAGATGGCGATGGCCATAATGCCAAACTCAAGGCTTCAAAATGGGATCCTACAAACCAATGGGTGACGTTACGGTAGCTACGTCCAATTTTTTTTTGGTCTATGGGGCATGCGCATTACATGCTGTGTGTGGGGCACCAGTGCAGGAGCGGTCACCAAAACAGCTCAATATGATCATCATCAATCATGATCATATGTATTGCATTAACTCTCCCAGATCAGGCCCTTTCACACACTTCATGGTTTGAGCTGCACTCGTCATTGGGTTGGGTCAGTTTTTAAAACAGCCAGTTGGTTCTGCTGAGTGTAGTTCTCTGAAACTCAAGCTCATTAAAACATACCTGCATTCAGCAATGGGACAGAAACGTCTTTGTGGTCTTGTTGTCATCACTATCAATGCAGGGCTCACTCAGACGCAGCAGTAACACTTAGGGCATCTAAATGGCCAGCAGCAGCCCTGGGTGGAGTCATCGGTTTGCATTTATTTGCTATGAGAAATGGAAAATCCTTCACATAGAGCATCATAGGGAGGCCAGTGCAGCAAGAACCAATCTGGCCATGTGGAGGACAAAGATCAGATAAATGTAGTACTTAAACAATCAGTCAATCACTTTGTTTGGAGAAAAGTAATGGTGAAACATTTTGAGAGTTATTTTTATTCACATCTATAAGCATTTATTGCTTAAATGAGGCTACTGCATCAATTTGTATTTTATGGATTAAACAAATATTTCAAAGTGAACATTTTGTAGATATTTTCTGTGCAAACACTGATACGCTGTTGAGTGTGCAATTACATTTCCAAGCAACATATTTTACTGATGCTTAAAATTTGCTTATGCGCATGAATAAATATGATGAAAGGTGGCATCAAACACGCCAATCATACTATCCAGTTTCTTTCATATAAAACTCAGACACCTTCAGATCTAACAGGCTTAGACCTCAATGATGTTGCCCTCACTTGATTTTATATCCGTCAAAGGTGAAGGTGAAGCAAATGTAGAGGTGAGTGTCTTTCATGGTGGATAAGGATGAGCTGTGTAAAGGGATAAATCTATACCTTATCTTAATTTAATGCTCTGACCTTGGTTTATATGCTCCCAGATGCCTGGTTGGTTGCAGAGGCGCAGATGTTGAGATCGAATATTCAGTCATTTACTCAACATTTTTGTTTATATGTCTCCTTAGAGACTTCTCTTCACATCTATATATCGGGCAATGTCTAGTTAAGGAAGTGCAAGATTTAGAGTCTTGTTCTCTACCTTTAAATAGGTCAGAGTAATCTATGAAGATTGTCATCAATATGGCAAAATGGCTGGAAACGTAAAGGTCAGAAAAACGCAGAGGTAGGCAATTCAAATACCAAGAGGTAATAACTACATTTGATGATGACACTATAAACAGATCCAGCTGCTGTTAAACCACTGGAAATTGGGTCCATAAAAATGTACTGTCAAATACTGTACATCTTATACATTTCCTAAAATAATCATTTGGATGGACTATACCACAGAATATTAAAACAGGAAATCACTCATGATTCCTAAGATTAAATGATTTAGAGTAGAGCTTGATTTAGAAAAAGCATGGTCTACTTCTTGCCTAAAAATCAAAATTGCTCTTGGTTATGAACACGAGTTAAACCCAAGCGCAGGGCACAGACTGAATAATCATGTAAAGGAGGTTTTATCGCCACAAGAGATGAGGACATGGAACAGATGGTGAGGAATGGGAATCCAGGGGTCCACTGGGAGGAATGGAGGTGGCTGAGATGAAGCTGGCATGGGCAGGCAACGAGAGGAAGTGTGGAGAGCAGGTGTAACGGGCAGACAGGTGAATGGTGATCCTTAGATAAAACAGATTAGTGACATGAAAAAACCTGAGGAAGCAAACGCTTGGCATCAATATGTTTGCTGCCACATGACATGTAGCTCAGAGGCTGAACAACAATCTGGTGATGAGTGGTTGGAGAGCTGCAGTAGATATACTGCATACTCCATGGACAGGTGAGTGTGGTGAGCAGAGCCAGTGGCCAGAACAAGAACATGTCCACACCAGCACACACAGACATTACAAAACAATTTCAGTAAGTAGTTTAATAGATTTTCCACATCTCCAAAACAGCTGCCATGACTTTAGTTTTAAAACTGGAAGACGAGACCGCTGACACCCCAGTGTGTGCTGTGTTTGTCCAAATAGGTATAGGGCAGGGATCATGTTCACATCTATTAGATGGGGATATAGCTCCAGAAATAATTTAACACCCTCAATGGATTTGTGACCGCAAAAATGAAGGCTACATCAACAATTCTCTCTTTATTTGCAAGTTTTCAATTTTGTCCAGTCCCTACTCAAAATACTGCAAAATGGATAATGGATAAGTTGTAAGGATAACTCCTTTTTGTTTGTAGTTACTGCCATTTTAGAAATGAATTATTCACAGCTGTAACAGGTTTTGTTTGAATAAAAACCAACTCTCGACTTTGTCTAACTGCTTTGGTAATGTAAGTGCATCAACATTCATTTGAGATGACTGCTGAATTTGGCATTCATCCCTAACAAGCTGTAGTAATTAAGATGCACAGCTAAGTCGGCCATGTAATTAGACTACTCTCCTTGTCCCAGTATACAAGCATAGGGGAGGAATCAATTTATTGACTGAAGTATGTCCCACTGTGGTACGATAGGTAGTGATATGCCCCCTTTCATCTCATTAGTACTGGAGTACCTTTTCCCGGTTGACCTTTTAGGTCACAGACCAAACAGTCAACAAACAAGTTAGCCACTGCTAACTGGTACAATGATGGACAACTTTACAGCTCTGTCCATGTCGTCCTTCCAAAAATGCACGGCTCTGGATGTACCCTTTGCCATGTTGTTACCAGCTTCTTCTTCTGTTACGCGTTTAATGACATGCGACTTCTGGGTCAAGGCCTGGGGGGCACAGAGCACCTAGGCCAGTCTGGGTCCAATTGACTGTATACATACAGCAATACTTCGACTCCGACTCACATTATCTGACTTTAAGAAGTTTGACTTTGTATGATTTCGGTCAGAATTACGTGTTTACATGTATTTTACAAGTCCGGTTTTAGTCAGACCAACACAATAAATGGATTATCTCTGATGTCATGTGAACACACTGAGAAACACACAGAAAAAAAAGAGGTGTGACAGGCATGGCATGTAAGACAACAGTGTCAGCCTCTAGTGTGACATATATCATACGCCTTGGCAGAGCTTTCTAAACAACAACCAAGGCACTAATGTGTCAATTAGAATCATTTACCATCTGTTATATGGCAGCTGATCTCATCCTCTGCTCAGAGATAAGGAGCTCCAGGACCTGTGGAATAATGGACATTTATCATCACTTTTCCTCTTCTCTGAGTTAGCCGCTAACTGCTAGTAACTACTTTTTTAATCTCCCGCAGTGGGTCGCACGCATAATATGTTGTCACAACGTCCCACAGACTTTCCTGTTTATATAGACACTGTTTCAGCACTGTTACTACCTCCTGTGGCGGATTAAAGGCGAGACCACTCTCCCCCCCATTCCGTGATCGTACCTTATATACAGCAATGCAAGTGGATTGATATTCCTGCCTTGAATAGGCAGTGTAAAAGGGGATATAGACATGTAGTGGTGCCTCACAGACAGCCTGTCATTCAGTCGACCCCGCCTTATGTGTAACTTTAAGCCTTAAGAAAATATATACAGGTGAGTTATACAAAAATATCACCCCCTGTACAGTTGTCATCAATGTTGAAATCAGCTATAGAGACTGAAACTGTTTTTTGTACCAGGCTGTCAGCATGTTTATTTCCGCTGTAATGTTGGACATTTTAACATGGGTCTCTATGGGAGTTGACTCGCTTCAGAAGCCAGCCTCAAGTGGCTGCTCAAAGAACTGCAGTTTTTAGCACTTGCCATTGGCTTCATTTTTCAGCCTTGGAGGTTGTCTCTTGTGTAAAACATTGAAGGAGATTGCAGGAAGCAGTATATGGCTTGTCTCGACATTAGTTTTAAATCAAAGGTAATGTGCCCAGAGCAATTCTCTGCATCACACATCCCCTCAAGGGACAATTTAATTGAGAGCACAGACAGCATTTTGGTCACATCGATAAATGCACTGCTCATAAATCTCCTCTACCCATGACTCCTCTTTCTCCTTCTCTCTCTCTTTTGCTGTTTTTCCAGTTGTTTTAGTGGTGGTTTTTGGGATCTGCTGGGCCCCATTTCACACGGACCGCCTCATGTGGAGTTTCATCAATGACTGGACCGACAGCCACCGGGAAATTTTCCAGTATGTGCACATCATCTCTGGAGTGTTTTTCTACCTCAGCTCAGCGGTCAATCCCATCCTGTACAACCTCATGTCCACACGTTTTAGAGAAATGTTCAAGGAGGTCATGTGCCATCGGCCACATCACATCACGCCCAGAAAACATTCGCTCAGTGTCACGCGGGTGACACTCCGCAGCACACTGAGTGATGTGCCACTTGGCAACGGAGCCGCTGTTGTTGAAGCCGAGGCAGAAGATGGAGACGTGCGGATGAAAGACGAGACCACTTTTACGTGTTAAACACAAATTAAAGAGGAAAATGGCAATCTGTTTGGAAAGACTGTCCCGTTCTGAGCTACTCCATCCGTCAACTATCATCATCATCCACTTTGAACAGGTGCATCAGCGAAAAAGTGTTCAGATTATGCTGCTTTTAAAAACTTCATCCATAACTCACCAACTCATATACTGAAGTTAAACTCCAGACCCTTTTTAAATGCTTTTACACTATAATGTCATCTCAAGTTTGCCAACAAAAATAACTTGTTCACTGTATAAAAGCCAAATGAAATGAAAAGTCGTGTTTCTTAGCAATTCAGTTTCAGTGATGACAAAACCATTTACAGAATGAGGTGGATCAGTGAGTACATAAGTCAGTCCAAGCCAGAGAGAGTTTGGTCACTTTTTATATACATGTATTATAAATACAGTAAGTAAATGTGAAACACAATACCGTAAAGTAACAATGAAGTGTATAAAAGTATAAAAATGGTGATGGATGGATATAAGATAATACACACTGAATGTTCTGTTTTGTTTATGATAATGCTGCTGTATTTATATATGATGTAAGAGGAAAGCTACGTTTTATGTACAGTGTATTTATATGAAATCATTTGTGTTATACATGTCAAAGTTTCTTATCACTTGTAACGACTTTTAACGTGGAAATGATGTTGTATGTATCTATTTTATGATCGTTTTTAGCTAATGTAAAGTATCTTTGAGTACTATGAAACATATTAAACATGTTACTATTGTTCTATAAGGATAGCCTATATAATGTATTCATGTTCAGATAACAAAAATGCTTGTCAACCTTGTGTACTATTTTCACTAGTGTTTACATGTGAAAGTTATTTATGCCAAATGTCTTAAAGGAGAAGTCCGGTATTTTGCACTTTGAGACACATGTCTGGGTTGTTTATGATAAAATATAGTGGCTAAGACCAAAATAGTGACCATTGCTAATTTTCAGAGAATTTGGCTTTCCCTGCCTGGCTTAACAGTGCTGCCTATGGCCATGTGTGAACCTGTCCCTAAAACCACCCTAAACGTTTGTTTTCAAAGCCATGAAACTCACCGAGTGGTCAGTGGTGTTCGTTGATGTTTTGACATAAAAATCGTAGCAAACTGTGGTTTCCATCCGCGTTTTCGCGATTCATCTCGATTGTGGGACTATTTTTCCAGCTGCCTCACACCCGTGTGTAAACTTACGCTTGATTGTTCGTTTGACCCTGAAGCGTTATACACTCCAGCCCACTTGATGGCAATAATGCTCCTTTACGTGGGTGTCGCCAACCGGCAGGAAACCATTGCAATGTAATGGGACACAGAGAAGAAGCAGAAGAAGAAGGCTGACGTTGTGTTTCAAAGGCATCGTACTGTGATGGTTGTTTACAAGCGAGTAATCCATTGTGCAGTTGTTTAAACTTATTACAAAATTTTTTCGTTCGTTCTCGTTCTTCCTCCAGGAGCCCACACAGCACTGTCGATCCTGAACTTTTGCTGAGCTAAAAGACTACAGTGCCTACAACCTTGTCATAAACAACCCCCTTTCTGTTTCCTGTGGTGGATTACTACCAACAGACAATGAGTCTTCTATAGAAAATCAGTGAATTACACAAAATATCAAATAAATCATCACGGAAACCAATGCTACAATTTTTATGTCAGAACAACAGCGAACACCACTGACCACTCGGTGAGTTTCATGGCTTTGAAAACAAACGTTTAGGGTGGTTTTAGGGACAGGTTCACACATGGCCAGAGGCAGCACTGTTAAGCCAGGCAGGGAAAGCCAAATTCTCCGAAAATGAGCAATCGTCACTATTTTGGTCTTAGCCACTCTATTTCATCATAAACAATCCAGAAATGGGGCTCAAAGTGCAAAATACTGGACTTCTCCTTTAATGTTTTATATTGTTCCAAGTAAACTTTGTGCTGAGATGTTATCTATCGCTATGAAAAAAATATGAGATAAAACTAATTTCTAATAAAGCAGCTTTGGTGCTTTTTGTTGTTACAAACCTGTTGCTGTGCAAAAAATATATACTTGTTTTTCCAGCCAAAAATCAATATGTCTAGATTACATTGAGTTTTGTATGACGTGGGAAATGATGCCAATTCACAAAGACTATTATGACTTTCAATATGATGGACTACACTTTTCAGGCTCACCAGAAGTACTTCACTGGCAAACTATTGTCAGTTCACCAAAAAGGTCTGTCCTGATTTACCGACTGACAGTTTAGATCCACTGTAGCATTACTAACGCTCTACAAAGACTGGCATAAGCCCATTACCACCCCCTAGAGGCTGCATTGCCCAAAGTATTCTCGAATTTAAGGAAGGCTTTATGGCACATCATGTTTTCTCTACTAACAGGGCACCCTGTAGGGTGCTGCCAGAATGAGTTAGCATTTTAGCACTCCCAGTTCCCTCATCTCAAAGTTAATGTTTTTTTTCGAATGGGTTTTTGGGTTAGATGCCTGAAATATGGTTTAAGAGACTTTTGTTTGCCACAGAGTTTATTTTCTGCAATAATCCAAAATCCAATGAAAAAAATCCATTGGTTTTTTCTCAAGGGAACCAGAGTGATATTAACTTCCATGTTTGCTTACAAAACAAACATCATCCCTGCAACACTCCATAGACAACACTTTATCATGTTTCCTGAACATTAACCCACTGCAGAGGTCATGTTATCATGTTTTATCTACCATATATCTGAGAGGGAAGATTATGCTGCATTATTTTAAATCTAAAAGGTCCAGTGTGTAGGATTTAGGGGATATCTTGGTGGAAATGAAGCATAATATAGTTAGTGTGTTTTCTTTATTGTTAAATTACCTGATAATAAGAATTGTTGTGTTTCCATCCATCCATACATTAGAATGAGCCATTTATATCTACATAGGGAGTGGGTCCTTGTCCATGGAGATTACCATGTTGCACCGCCTGTTTCTACAGTAGCCAAGAACAGACAAACCAGACACTGGCTCTAGATGGGGCCATTTGTGTTTTCATGTCAAGGAAGTCATATGACCTGACATGATACCATCCTCCAAATATATCAGATCAAAAAGATCTTTGGTGCAAATGTATGTTTTCAATGTGACATTATAATTTATTGTAAAAAGAAAACACAAATTCACACTCTGGATCCACCACAGTCTTTTACTTAGTATCACTGCTGTGATGGCAGAGGAAGGACGGTTAGCTCACCTTCCAGTGCTCTCTTTAACTGCTGCAGGTAATCATCAATGTATTACTGTATAAATAACCCAAAACTAATGTTTTTTTCAATACCTTGATGCTAACTTGCCAATATTATTAAATATTCTGATTAAAAATATATATTAAGTTAATCTCATGTAGTACACTTCATTCCATTACCTTTGAGTAGGCCTGCTTCATTTATTTTACATTGGCTTAAATATTTTATTCGAAAAATATGGCTTTTTTTTCCCCAATAACTTCCATGTGATGTGTCCCAGTAATTTAAATTTAGTATCAAAATGTATCATTACACTTGACAAAAAAATTACCTCTTCATATGGGATATTAGTGCTCATATTCTAGGCTATAATGTATTTTTTATGGAAAGTTGTTTGGGTTTTTTTTGCTTTGTTTTCTGTTTTTTTTTCTCTCAAAAAAAAAAAAGGTCCATAATGTGACCAGCAACTTAAATTTAATATCAGGATGTATCACTTCACTGCACAGGACACATAGGACACACAACTGGGATTTTATGGATTTTTCCATTTTTATAAATGTTTTTATGAAAAAAAAAATCATTAACTTCCAGTGCCACATTTAATTTCCTTCATATTCACAAACAATATTTTGAAAGCCGTAATTATGAAAAGTTGACTGACATGTATGTCAATATTCAGTCAAAATATAAGTTCATTTTATTTTATTTTTCTGCAAAATTAATTTTGGCAGTGTCAACTGACCCAATTTAACACATGCATCGACTGAGCCATGCTGTGTGTGGCATCACGCTCTGTCTGTGTATGTGCGTCTGTGCTTTTTTTAATGGACAGTGTAGTGCAGGAGAATGGCATAGAGTAGTGAACATCCCTCACCGACTGACTGACTCACTCACTTATTCACACATTCCATCCTGTCCACATTGTTGAAAATACTGAGGTTGCTTTCCTTTGGTGGCCTAAAACTATATTTTTTAGTGGTTGTGGTGAGAATTCGATGTTATCAAGGTTTTCTGAAAACTTGGAAGCCCCATTTTATCAGCTAATGTTAAGGAGCAACCAGCGCCAGATCCATGCAGCGTAGCTTTGTAACACTGGCTGGTAAAGTAACTTGTAGACAGCAAGTTAGTTGGTAGCAGAGAGCCAACTGTCCGAATGAAATATAGCAACATTACAAGTAGTCGGCCTAACGTTATTCTAAATATGACTGTAATTTATTTTCCAGCATTCTATCAACAGGATGCCAGTCGACATTCAGTCCCATGTAGGCCATGTCGCTGTTTTGGTTGATGCTCAGGTGTAATCGATTGTGTCTACATGTCTGGTGTGTGCAACAGGATGGTGACTACACTAACAACCTTAGAGAGAGATGTCGCTAAAACATTTACATACAGAACCTTTCACAAGACAATACAACTGAGCCGTATCTTACTTGCATTCCTCTTTAATGACAGAATCAGAAGAGAAATGGCTTTTGGAGGAATTTAAAAAAGATCTTTCAAAGCTGACAACATCAGCAGTGTTGAAGGCGGTACAGGGTAGTTTAGCTGCTGTTACTTCCAAATCTGTACTTCAGGCAGATTGTAATGGATTCTCCTTCCTTCTTCTGTAGTGCTCTGTTAGACCAGATACATTATCACCTCCATCACCACTCTGCACTGTTGGCCATAACATGCTCTGGAACAAAAGTAATTTGTCATGTGTACCTCCTGTGTACCACATGTTTTTAAAAAGGGGAAGAGCTCATTCACCCTTCCATCCAGATTTACTTATAGCTGTCACAGTTTTGTTGCAAATGCAATGCAATTTGCAAGGTCATCTAATGTGGTAAATCTTGTGTGATAAATAAAGTTGTCAGTCTCGTCCCTTGAATGTTTTCTGTCTTGAGAAGTTGATTTTTTTTCAAGGTTAAAATGGTAGTATTCTTGGCTAAAACTGAAACAAGGAACGCTCTGAATTCCACATCCTGATATTTTATTTCATTTTATTTTATTGTATTTATTTGATTTCATTTCATTTTTTTATTATTTTTTTTATCTAATTTAATTTGATTAATTTGACTTAATTTAATTTTTTGCTTTGCTTTGTTTTGTTTTATTTATTTACTATATTTATATTTTGGCTCAATGATAATTACAAAAAAATCAAACAATTTCTGCACTGCATGCCAAATAGTGTACTAGTAGAAAGCCCACAGTCAGTTGGGATTGGCAGCAAATTGTGGTACAATCTGCCAGACCACCTCAGAAACTAATCTTTTAACAGACAAGCTTATCAACCAGGATGCAACCACAAGGCATTTTCATATTTGTGAAAAAATATGCCAAAGCAGCGATGAAGGAAACCAGAGTGAAGAAGAGGTCGATGTTGGTCTACTGTACAGAGAAATGCACTGCTGTCAGGTTCTCTGTCTCTATGATTTAAAACCAGGTAAAGCAAGTGCCTGCAGCAATGCCCTGGGCTCTTTTGTGACTGTAGCAGTGGTTGGAAAGCAAACACTCACTGGACACATAGACCACTCCAATACCATTTCATGTCAAATCTAATCCCAGGTCTTTATTTGAGTGCCCAGGAGATTGCCAAGAGCATGAACCTGCATGACATTATATTATTTAGTGAGAAGAAGGCATTGTCAGGAGCCTAAATAAATAAACAGGATGTGTGTGATACCTG